GGAAAGAGCTGGTGAATGCCCTCAGAAAGTGCAGCCTTAGGAAGGAAAGAGACATCACAACATTATGAGTGAAATACTCATCTTCCTAAATCACAGAGTTTTGCTGAGCCAGGTTTCACCCAACAACTCTGGAAAATTCCCCAAGGATATTTATGCCAGAGATAACAGATCCCTCACATACGTTTTCTGAAAAGTACTGTCACTCAGCAGAGACTGGCAGACAGTCAGCTCCCTCCTGCCTCACCTTCTGCCTGTTCTTCTGGTGCCCTCCCTTCCCAAGCAGCCACCCGTGAGCCCACCTGAGCAAGCCAAGAGCCCTTCTCTTTCTCTAGGTAAAGCTTCTTTTCCGCATGCAGTCTGGAATTCAGAGCACTGTGAGAGCTTGGTCAGTCCTCAGCACCAGGTTACTGGCAAAATCAAAGCCATGTTACATGTGAACGATTCAGGAAAATAACCTAAGGGAAATGCTCCTAACTTTCTGATAGAAACATACATCTTAGTAGCTAATTATAGACTAAATATTTGCCATATCAAGGACATTTCTTTAACTTAATTTTTTCAGGTAAACCCTCATTTCCAAAAAAGGGGGAGTCATGCTTCCTTTGGGTTATGTTTTTTTCACACAGAAGGAATTTTCCACCTACAAAACACCACAGTAGAAAAAAATCCAAGTTTATGCGTGCACATGTGAAAAGGGAAAAAAAAAAAGAAAAAAAAAAAACAAAAACCAAAAAACCCCACTCGCAGAAGACAGCTCCGTGCTTTTTGCCTGGAATTGGGTTCCTCTGACCTATCAAGTTTCCTCCCATCAGCCTCGCCGCGCTTTGAACTGCTGACATTGAGACACTGTGCAGCCAGGCACGACAGCTGGCTCTGCGGCATCTAATACCAACACATGCTGCTTTAGCCCATTTCCAGAGACTAAGATAATGAAAGATTCAAAAATAATATTTGTTTTGGCAGAACTACATTTATAATGAAATAGATGCCCTTGACCATGGAAGAAACTGAATTTTGCAGTGGGTCGTTCTCCCCCTTCCCATCTCCCCCCCCCCCCCTTTTTTTTTTTTTCCCATACAAACCAGGCTCTGCGGCCGGTCTTAAGGCCAACAGAAATATTTTTGAAGGGCTCTGTTGTATTTCCTGCATCAGATTTACAGCAGAATCGCAGCTACACTGGTTGCACTGTTTTCGGAATGAAAAAATGCAGATTACATCCGATGTATCAATACCAAATGGGATGGGGCCCCAGGCTCAGGGATCCTTACAGATCTCTTCCACGCAAGCGGAGTTTGCAACGTAATGAGCTCATACTGGAAGCATCTTACACAGAAAACCGATTCATTGGGGCGGTCGGGACATTTTTAGCTCCGTGCCCAAATTTTTCTTGGAATTAGAGGAATTAGTCATCTGATCAGAGCAAGACAGCTTTGGCCCATCAAGTTCCCGTTGAATTTTTCCTAAGCAGTTCCCGGGCCCGTTTTAAGTGGTGCTTGGCATTTGCTGCGTGGCAGAGCGGTGACGCGGTTGGAGGGACAGGGCTATGGCATTGCGAATGAGGTGAAGTGAGAGACAAGGAGCGGCAATTTTAAACTATTCTTTCTGTTAACGTCGCAAACCGTGATTTCTTCTAGGAGTATCCCAGGCTGCTGCACTCGATCCTTTTTTTCCCAACCTTTTACCAAATTTTAAGATTATAACCTTTTCGATAGGTGTCGTGCCCAGGTCAGAGGGAGAGACTTGGTATTGAAATTTTTGGACATTAGGAAAAGTTTCTTGGACGTTAGGAAAAGTTTCTTGGA